CTTCCGCCCGCCGGGTTTGGGCCTCAGGTCGTTTTCACTAAACCATGTTTTACTAAAGGGAGGTCTGTCCATCCCCGAAAGGGGGTCTTGCTGAAAGGGGTTGGTGCAGTGGACGTGGTGCAATACTTTTATGGGGTTGCAGTAGTTGTGGGACGTGCAATGCATTCGGGTGCGCAAGTGTACTGCTGGATTTTCGCGTGCAATGCACTAGCTGCAATACGATTCTCTGGCGCAATATATTTGCAATTTTAGTTATTGCCCCACATCTATTGCACCACCCTTTTCAGCTGGAACCCATTTCGGGCGTCCAATAGGCCGGGGCCCGCTTCGGCACGAGCCTAGGATCGTTGTTTTCGCGTAGGGTATCGACTGCAAAATCGGTTTACCCGCAAATATATTTCTTCATCAAATCTACAAACAAATACGAAGAATGTTTGTAGAGCTACGAATAATATACGCACTTGTTGTGGATTCGAGCAAATCACGTTTGGGGTGAATAAGCTCTGTAGTCGATCCCCTACTCGATGTTTAAGTCTCCTGGCGATAATCGGCGGCAGTCGAGGGCGGGGGGGGGACATGAGAAGGAGACGACCCTCAGCAGGCGGCGGGACTTCTCAGAAGCCCCCGCGCCTTCTGTTAAGTCGGGCGTGTCCCTCTACAGGAGGAATATTCAAAAATAGTCAAAACATAGTCTGGGGACGATGTTTTAGTATTCTGGGGCATTTGTTGTGTATTTGTTGAGCATGTTTTGATTTCCGTCCAAGCCTGTAGGGGGACATGCCCGACATGAGCCTTCTGAGACGTTTCCTGCGTCTTAGGCGAGGTCTCACCAAAAAACTGTTCAGAATGATGGAGGCCTTCCGAGCTCGGTGATAGCTTTCGGCGGGGGAAACAAGTACCCATACCGCCACCCTGCGCCCGTGTTACCCTTTTTTGGGGGGCCTCCTGGGCGACCCTCGTCGCCACCTCTAGATTCGCCTGGCAATTCTGTCAGGAACGCACCCCAGGAGAGGTCCCGGGGGTACAGTCGGGGTCCTGAAGAAGGAACCCTTTTCGTTGGGGAGGGGCTCCGTGTTCCTTGATTGTTTTACAGCTTGCCTCAGGTTTTCCCAAGGTTTTCGATGGGGAATCGAAGGTTAACTTATGGGACAGGAGGGACCTCGTTCCTTATTTACGGTTCCTTAGGTCAACGCCCCGACTGTAGCGGTGTCGGCACCTTTTTAGATTTCCCCAAACCAATCCGAGTGGCGTTCGCCATGCCGCCGACCCCCAGGGAAGCAGCGATGTCCACGGGGGGGCTCGTCTTGACGTCCTGGTGGGCCTGCGGGGCCGGAGGGCACACAGTGGAGCCCAGCTGTTGCAAGCTGCGAAGGCATCTCGGGGTTCGTGGAGTCGAAGGAGTGCACAGTTCCAGGCGAAAACATACTTAGATGAACGATGGAAGCGTTCATCACTTTGCGATGTTGACCATATGTTGTTAAGCACATGTGATGGGCCAACAAACAGCAGGGAAGTCCTAAGCTGTCGTATGATGTGGCCTTCAAATGATTTGGCCGCTAACTCGCCAGGGGGTGTGTACTTCGTTTATGCGTTCCTAGCTGAGTCCTGCTAAACTATGCTGGCGTTATGCTGATGACGGTGGTAGTGATGACGATGGTGATGAGGAGAGCGGTGATGATGAGGATGCTGATGATGATGATGATGATGATGATGATGATGATGATGCTGATGCTGATGATGATGATGATGATGATGCTGCTGCTGATGATGATGATGATGCTGATGATGATGATGATGCGGCCAGCGGCCGTGGACTGATGATGGTGATGAGGATGATGATGAGGATGAGGACGACGATGACGATGACGATGTTGATGATGATCATGATCATGATCATGATGGTGGTGATGATGATGATGATGACGATGATGATGATGATGATGATGATGATGATGATGATGATGATGATGATGATGGTGATGGTGATGGTGATGGTGATGGTGATGATGATGATGATGATGATGATGATGATGATGATGATGATGATGAACTACAGGCGGCCGCATGTGACACCTATGGCGCAATCTGACCGTGTTGTATTCGGCCGCCGAGTGCGCAAACACATGGCGCTATCATTACCAGGCCGTATTCCCAGCCCTCTTGCGTTGCTGGAACCTTGCCTTGAACATGCGGCGCCGCGCCCCACTTCACCTCCTCCCGGTCTCCCCCGCTTGGGTTTCCCAATCTTACTTGGTTGTTGGCCTCTCGCTTTGAATCCGCAGCGCTGCGCGTTCACTCCTCCCCCTACCGCCTCCCCTTTTTCCTCTCTCTTTGCCCATTCTTCCCCATCTGTCTATTTTGGCACAGTCCTCACTAATTTCTGTGCCCCCGTAGGGAGCTCCACTTACGGCCTCAATGGGCAAGTTCGCATAGCGTCCCCGCCGCACACTCCGGAACACCCCTCACGCGGCTCGTGCCCCACAGGAAGTTCCACCGACGACCTCGGCGACCAAGTGCGCATTGCATCTTCCCGCCCGTTTCGGTATTACCTTCGTTCGGGTCGTGGCCCGCAGGGAGCTCCACATACCGCTCAAGTGAGCAAAATCGGATGGCACCGCCCCGTTTGCTTCGGCACAACCCCCCCGCAGGCACTGCCCCACCGGGAGCTCCATCAGGCGCCCCAGCGGGCATGTTCGAATAGTGCCCGCCCTCAGAAACTCCACCGGCTGCGGCTCCCGTAGACAAGCCCGTCTGGTGCCATGCACACTTCGGCACCACCCTCGCGGATCGTGGTGGCGGCCCTGCCCCAGCCGGGGGAGGAGCCGGCCCGCGCGCAACGGGCGGGGGCCGCGCGCGGGTCTGCACGAACAACATGGGCACACGGAAAGAATGGGTACAATGCCCAGCAGCGGATCCCGTTCGTTTTGAACCGGACTCGCTGTTGGTGTCGCCGCGGCCTGTGTCCATTCGAGACTTTGAGACAGCAGGCCGCCTGCCCAACAGTGGCCGCTGCTGGTTTGGGACAGCATTTGTTGTTGGGCATTGTACCCATTCTTTCCGTGCTCACTTCGGGCGTCCAAAGCGGGGGGGGTCCTGTTCAGGAGGGAAAAGGACACAGACACAATGAATCGTCGATTCCCCAGAAAATATGGGAAAATATGAACGTGGGGGGAAGACAAAGACCCAGAAAATTTTGGGACATATGGGGAATCCTGTTATTGGTGTCTACTTATTTGTGTGTCCCAGAGCCCCTTCACCTGTGCGCGCTGCGCGGCTAACCGGGCGTCGGAGCAGATGGGGTCGGAGGATCGCGCCGCATCGCCGATGCATCGGCGCGATGTGGAGCCCGATGCTCTCCGCGCCGACGTCGCCAACGTATCGGCGATGCGGCGCGATCCTCCGACCCTATCTACCCCGACCCCATCTAGGAGGCCTCTACTTCAGCACGTCACTTTGAATGCAGCACCTGATCGGTGCGCATATGTCTGCGGAGAGCATCCACTGGGGGGTGGACGCACCAGGATGAGAGAATCCGCCTTGGGGGGTGGGCTCTGCAGCCAGGCCATCAAAGGCGAGAGAGAGAGAGGGATGGCGTGCCACTGTGCGGGGCAGCACGCGGGAGGAAGAGCGCCTGATCGGTGCACGGACGAGTCTGGACACAGGGGTACACCCACCCAGGGGGGTGGGCGCCCACCAAACCACCCCAACCCAACCCGAAGGCTCAAATTTACCGTCGATTTCCAGTGGGGCGGGGGGGTCGGGGAACATCGAAAAAAAACACGCGTGGAATCCTTACCCCCCCCCCAACCCGAAATTCGGGTCTTCGGGTTGGGTTGGGGTGGTCTGGTAGGTAGTCAGGGGGGTGGGCGCCCAGGGCGGAGCGAGGAGGGCGGAGGGCGGCGGGCGCACCACCTCGGGCGGCAGAGCACGCGCGCCGGGAGGCACCCGATCGGTGCAGCGTCCCGCGGGCAGAGGCGTCCGTCCTCCCCGGGGGGGCCGACGCCCCGCGCGGCACCGCCTATGGTGCCTCCTCCTCCTGCTCCTCCTCCTCCTCCTCCTCTTCCTCCCTCCTCCTCCTCCTCCTCCTCCTCCTCCTCCTCCTCCTCCTCCTCCTCTCTTCCTCCTCCTCCTCCTCCATCCTCCTCCTCCTCCTCCTCCTCCTCCTCTTCCTCCTCTCCCCTCCTCCTCCTCCTCCTCCTCCTCCTCCTCCTCCTCCTCCTCCTCCTCCTCCTCCGCCTCCTCCCTACCCTGAGATGCGCCGACCTTGGGGGGCAGGCGCCCGCGGAACTGGGAGCCAGGGTGGAGGAGACGCATGCGAACGTCGCCTCGGGGGCCTTCGGCGGGGCTCCCTATGGGGCCACGGATCGCTGTACGGGGCAAGGGAGACGCACGCGAGCGTCGCCTGTGGAGCCCCGGGTGGAGCTCCCTGTCATAGCCACGAAACGTTGCACTGGGCGGGGGAAACACACATGCGAACGTCGCTTCTGGGGCCTCCAGTGGAACTCCCTGTAGGGCCACGGAACGCAATATTGGGCGGATGGATGCCAACGTCGCGTCTGGGGCCTTCGGTGGAGCTTCCTATGGGGCCACGGAGCGTTGTCCTGGGTGAGTGAGACGCATGCGAACGTCGCTTCTGGGGCCTTCGGTGGAACTTCCTATGGGAGCACGGAACGTTGTATCGGGTGTGGGGACGCACGCGAACGTCACCTCTGGGGCCTTCGGTGGAGTTCCCCATGGAGCCACGAAATGCGTAACGGGGTGCACCGGAATGTTTGACACGCGGAGGGCAAAGGCAGGAATGGAAGGGGAGGAGGGAGGAGCGGGAGGAGGAGGAGAGGATGAACGTGGGGCGTCTTGTTTTGAGGGTCCAACACCGCAGAATGGCTCGGAAAAAGAAACATCGACGGATGTCAGAGCTTCCGATATAGAGCGATATCCGATCCGAACTCTGATCCGGTGCTGACCGACTCCGTTTCGATCTCGGATCCGTCTTGCGACACATGCCACATGCCAACACGATCTCCCGACCCAGACATCCGACGATGTGATGTTTTCAATGCGCAGCTCCAGAGGTCCCGACCACTCCCCTGGAGCCAGTTGCCCCGGATTCATGTTTGATGGCCCCGGGGCCCGAAAACGGGCCCCAGGGGCCGAAATCAGGGAAAGACATTCGAGTTGCAAAGACCAGGTCTTCGGAGATCTCGGGATTCGATGCTGACCCAGACATGCGGCGTCCTGATGTTGTAAATTCGGGGGCCCCAGACGTCCCGACCCTTCGCCAAGGGCCCGTTTTTCGCCCCGAGTCGGCTTTCGTTTGTCCCGCCAGCCCGGCGAGGGCACTCAGAGGAGTCCGAGAGTTGTGGGCAAAACACCCGCGGTGATTGTGCTGCCTTACTCTCCCGGACGTGCAAGCACCTGGTCCTACTTCACCGACGGCGTCGCTGCGGGTACCCTTTGCTTTCACGTACTGGGCCTCGTCATCGCTCGCGAGTGCCCCGACGCTGCGGCCCGGCAGCTGGGAGGAGGAGGAGGAGGAGGAGGAGGAGGAGGGAGGAGGAGGAGGAGGGAGGGAGGAGGAGGAGGAGGGGGAGGGGGAGGGGGAGGGGGAGGGGAGAGGAGGAGGAGAGGAGGAGGAGGAGGAGGAGGAGGAGGAGGAGGAGGAGGAGGAGGAGAGGAGGAGGGGGAGGGGGGGGAGGGGGAGGAGGAGGAGAGGAGGAGGAGCAGGAGCAGAGCAGGAGGAGGAGGAGGAGGAGGAGGGGGAGGGGGGGGGAGGGGGAGGAGGAGGGAGGAGGAGGAGAGGAGGGAGGAGGGGGAGGAGAGGAGGAGGAGGAAGGAGGAGGAGGAGGAGGAGGAAGTCTTCCGCCTCTGAGTGCCCTGCATATCTCGGCGGCCCCGCTTCGCTTTACGATCGCTGGCGCAACCAGTTCTTCAGCAGGAGAGGAAAGAAACATACAGGCACATCTTGTCGTCGACGCACACAGGAGAGAACAGATGGGAAAGTATGGGAAGTGTGGGGGGGCAAGAACCAAATTCAAGACATGTTGAAATATATGTGTATATATATATATGTATATATATACGTGTGTATATATATAGGGGGGGATCCTGGGACTTGCGCGTACTTCTCTGTAGGCCCCAGGGCCCCTTCGATGCTGCCTCGCCGCCGGCGGCCAAGGCCTGCGCTGCCCCTGCGGCACGAGCGCGCCTGGGGGGGGCCGCCCCTGCCAGGCGGAGCGCGCAGGCAGCGGGCAGGCCCCGGGAGGCCGGGCCGCCCCGGAGGCGCGCCCCGCGGGCGCGCCCGCGGAGGCCGGCGACGAGGGCGCGGCGGGGAAGAGCTGGGCGGAGCCGCCGAGGGCGGCCAAGGGGGCGGCCACCGCCAGGAGCTGGAGGGCGCCAAAGTCTAGGCTCAGGTCGGGCAGGTGCCTCCGATGCAGGCGGAATCTATGTATCTATATATATATATATATACATTTATATATATGCTTACATATATACATTTATATATATAAACATAGATATACAGAGGTATAGTCCGAAAAGGTGAAACATAGTCGTCTGGCGGCGGCTATCTTCTATTACTTGTGGACCATGTTTGAATTTTCTGTGGCTCTGTTTCATTTGTCCCCCAAATCCGCCTGTAGGACGGCCACTGCCAGGAGCTGGAGACGGAGAAAAAACGTTTGGCGCTCTGGGCGGATTTCTTGGATCTGCGCTGGGCCCCCCGGCGGCGCCTCCGGCGCCGCCACTGGCGCGCTCCGCGCGCCAGGGAGAGGGGTCCAGCGCAGATACAAGATCTAGGCCTCCTAGATTTCGGCGGAGAGCGAGGGGAGGAAGTGAGAAGGCGAAGGCCTTCTCAGAAGGCAGCGGGGTGTCTCAGCTGCCCCCGTGCCCGTGTTCCCCCACGCAGATGCCTCGCCGATGCCTCGCCGATACCTCGCCGAGGCCTCGCCGAGGCCTCGCCGATGCCTCGCCGATACATCGGCGATGCATTGGCGATGCGGCGCAATCCTCTGACCCCGTCTGCTCGGACCCCGTCCAGGAGGCCTCTTAGCCAACTGCCCCATCGGTCAGGGCGGTTCCGGACGTGTTCGTAGGTCTTCGGCAGGTTTCCAGCCTCGAGGTGCCTTCAGCAGCCGCACGTCGCCAACGGCGTTCCGGACGTGCCTGGATCGTCCCGAACGGCTGGCAGAGGCCCGAATGATGGCGCGAAAGCCACCAGTCGGGGGTGGACAGAACCCCCAACAGTGACACGTCGATTAGTGAATTGTCCGTTTTCGGTTCTCGAGAGGGCGCCGTGTCCGTTATTTTCCAGGCTTGCGCCCGCCAGGTTTGGGCCTCAGGTCGTTATCACTAAACCACGTTTTACTAAAGGGGGCTCTGTCCATCCCCGAACCATGGAGAAGTTAGTCAGAGGAGGACGAGTTGAGACAACGGCAGCTAGCTTTTGGATGCAGCTCGGAAAGTGGGTGCGTTTGCACCCGGGAGGGCTCCAGGGATCGATTTTGAGATGCCGATGCAACTTGTTCGGGCTGGGCCCTGTCTTGGATCGCGTGGATGGGCGACGGGCCCTATGTCCGTTTCCATGCGAAATCGGCGCGGTCCGTCGCCAGAGAAGGCGGCATTGGACTAACGTCAAGTCGGGCCTGTCCCTCTACAGGGGAATATTCAAAAATAGCCAAAAAATAGTACAAGGACTATTGTTTGACCATTTTTGCATATTTTAGTGTACTTGTTGTCTACGTTTTATTTGTCGTCCAAAATCCCCTTGTAATTAGGGGGACAGGCCCGACTTAAGACTAACGTTGGGCGGGGGGCTTTCCCTGACCCGTGGATCTGAAGCCCACGCGCCATCCACGGATCCGTAATCTATGCTAGCGTGCGCCCGAAACTACCGCATCGGTAGAATCGTAACCTCTCAGGGGTCCGCGCGGATTTCTCGGATCGACGCGGGCCCCCCCTTGGCCGCGCCTCTGGCACCGCCCTTGGCGCGCTCCGTGCGCCAGGGAGGGGTGTCCAGCGCCGCTCCCAGGAGTCTGCGCGGACCTCGAGAGAGCGTGTCCGTGTCGTGTTCTGCTCCTCTGCCATCGGCGGCAGCAAGACGGATTTGTGCCGTGCAGTTGCGCTGCCGCGCGATTCCGCCTCCGCGCTTGAGCGGCCGCCTGGGGGGGAGGCCTCTTTGGGGCGGGCCTGGTGGGGGCCTCGCGGTCGGGGGCCGTCTGGGGGCCCTCCTGCACCGTCGTGGAGCCATCGCTGGTGCCATCTCGGGGCCCTCTGTGGGACCTCCTGGGCTCTCTGGGGTGTTCGGAAGCCCGAAGAGGCGCCAACGCTGAATCGTGTCAAACACCTGGGGGAAAGATTCGGCCTCCTCATGATTCCAGCTCTCGTGGGGGATCCTTGTGTGAGGCTCGTTCTGTCAGGGCGCCCTGGGGGCGTTTTGGGCCGTTTGGGGGGCGTCGCGGCCGTCTGGCCGGCTATCTTAGACCGTCGTGGAGGCCGCACGGGACAATCGCATCCGGCTCGGACACATCGAGTAGGGAGTCGATCACAGAATTGAGGGACCCCAAAAATTGATGGTCCCCATCGAAGCTACGACGAAGATGAGTAGGTTCCGCAAATGTGCTGGGAATTCGAACGTGCTCCGTAGATCCGGCGAGAGAAGTAATTCTGGGGCAAACCCATTCTGTAGTCGATCCCCCACTCGAACGCAGCCGTGGCCGTCTTGTAGGCAAACGGAGGACATCCTGGCGACTGGGCGCGCGCCCACGAGGGGTGCAGGGTGGAGGGCCGCATTCGATGCTCTGGCTGGACGGGCGATGCCCCGGGTGAACGGGCCATACCACGGCAGAGTTGGGTGTTGTTCCCGAGCTGGGCCCGCCCCCCAAACGCCCCCCCAAAGCACCAAGCCTTAAAAAGCCCCAAACACCAAACACAGAACGCCACCACACTCCAAACCCCAAGCACCAAGCACCAAACACCACACCCCACACACACCAACCGCCAAACATCAAGCAGCAAGCATCAAACACCAAACACCAAACCCCACATACAAAGCACAGAGCACCAAACGCCAGACACCAAACACCAAGCACCAAACCCCAAACACGAATACAGAACATCAAACCCCAAGCACCAGACACCAAACCCAACACACCAATCACGAAGCCACAAACCCAAAACCACCAACACCAAACACCACAAAACATCAGAGCCCAAACACCAAGTACCGAACATCACCAAATACAAAACCCAAAACCCCAAGCACCAAGCACCAAGCACCAAGCACCAAACACCAAACATGGGAAGGTGGATTTCTAACGGTGGTTTGGTAGTGGTTGTGGTGGTGGTCGCGTTGGTGGCCGTCGTGGTAATGGTCGTATTGGTGGTCGTTTTCGTGGTCGCGTCGGTGGTCGTGCTGGTGGTTTGCGATGGCGACCGCGACTCCTGGCAGCCCCCCTTGCTATTGCGGACGATCGAGTGTATTTGCGGGCGGTCGCGCCGGTGGTTCATGCTGCTGGTCGTGCACCTGGCAGTCCTGGCGCGTCCTGGCTGTGGTCGTGTTGGTGGTCGCGGTGATGGTCCTGTTGGTGGTCGTGACGGTGGGCTTGTCCGCGTGGTCTCCATAATTATGTTAAACGCATAGTTCGCATGTGTGAAACGTCTGGTTGTCCAAGGACAAGCGCATGGTCTGCAACACTGAAGCGTACAGTTTGTTATGCGACGTGGGGATCTTAGATAAGAGACGCACCAGGTGTTCATGCGAGACCCATGATAAGTTCAGATGTGCAACGTATGCGCTGAAGATGAGAGGCGTATGTGTCCCATACGAGAGACGTATGTGTCTCAAACGCTACCTCTATTGCCACCCTGCACAGACGACCAGCAGAGCAAGCCAGCGCCCCAGAAAACCATGTGGACTCCTTCAGGGCACACCACCGGCACTCCAGACCTCCCATGGCCTGCATTCGAAATCAATTGTGGAAGGTTTGCCGAAGTTTACATTCAGGAGGTGCCTCCCAGTCAACCGAGAAATAACCCATCCAATCGAGGTGTAGCCCATCCAACCAGGGCATAGACTACTGCCGGAGAAGAGGTGCCATGGACCGTTCTTCCCACGAATGCGTATGTGGGCCATGTTCTGTTGGCGTGGCCAAAAACGCCTGGACTGGTCAAACAGACGAACGCATGTTGGACTGGATTCGGCGCACAGGAACACAACACCAGTAGCTGTTTGGGAAAAGACGAATCCAAAGTCTCAGTTGCATACGCATGCCTTCGTCCGCGTCTTCGCGCTCGTGTGCCCGACGTCAGCGAAGATTTGAGGAAAGATGCACTCGCCGTGGGCCCTCTCCACTTTCCCTTCCAGCGAGCCACATGAGGCCAATGGACACTATCGGGCCTCGGCCCCTACGAGACCCACGAGCTTTGAGTTCCAGCCTTCGGGCTCCATGGGGCCTTCGATGAGACTCGGCCTCGGTGTACCCTCAGGCTTTACGAAGCCCCGCTCACCCAACCAGCGTCCACAGGGAAATTTAGGGGAACGAAGAATGACATAAACATAAAACCTCCGAGGTCCGCGCGGAGCGCCAAAAGTTACCCTCTGGTCGGGGGCGGCAGAGAGGGGGGTGATGAGTAGGGGGGGTGGATATCATGGCAGTGGCCATGATATGATTTCACGGCGCCTCTTCTGATTTCAATACGTTCCCTGGCCCACCCCCCCTGGGCCGCGCACATGCCGCCAGCCATCATTTGCACCCCCCCCCTCTTGGACACCCCCCTCTTGGCCGCCCCCGATCTGGGAAGGAGGAGGAGGAGGCGGAGGAGGAGGAGGAGGACGAGGAGGAGGAGGAGGATTCCTCCCCTGGGGAGCCGAGGACGTTTCCGCGCGCGCCCCCCGCCCGCGAGAGGAACCCCGCGCAGCGGCAGCGGTCCCTCGGCGCGCGGGCCCTCGCCAAGCTGCTGGACGAGGACGACGACGAGGACCCCGCGGAGGGCCGCGTGTCGAAGAGGGCGGTGCTCGGAGGGAGGCAAGGCCAGCAGTGGCGAAGCGTCTTGGCTCGCCGGTAAGCGAAGACGGCCTAGTACCAGAAACTGTGTGGCGCTCCGCGCGGGCTTCTTGGATCCGCGCTGGGCCCCCCCGGCGGCGCCTCCGGCGCCGCCCCCGGCGCGCTCCGCGCGCCGGGGAGTGGTCTCCAGCGCAGATCCGAGAAATCCGCGCGGATCTCCGAGGTTTTATGCTTACGTCATTGTTTGCTCCCCTATAGTGTAGGTCAAGCAGTGGCGGAGCGTCTTGGCGCGCCTGCCAGGCGCGCCAAAGCATGTTCCAAGAGCCTGTTGGGGTCTGCACGAAGTATATGTTCGCAGGGCATTTCTGGCTGAGACCGTCTCGGTACAGCACATCTGTTCACGTATTAAGAGCAGCGCTTTTGTTCTACGAACAGCTCTGGGTTCTGAGAACATGTCGTGGTAGGCCTACAGGAATGCCGGGACGGTCGGCCCCTGCTCAAGTAAGGAGTGTGCCCAGGAGGATTCAGACCCTGGCGGATTGGCGGATTTCTCATCCCCAGACCCCCTTCGAGTGATGCCAAAATCACGGCGGGTGGTTGTTCCACGTTTGTCGGTATCGGGTGGGCCTCTGCTTGGCCGCGGGGGCGTCAGAAAATTATTCAGGATGAACCGGTCCCGGAGAATGGGTCGAGACCTGTGGGGGTCGACGTTATGAACAAATATGATTGACATAGGGGGTTCTGGATCCGTATCAATGGCCAATTCACCATGGGAGTTCCACGGGCTTCCAGACCAAGGGTTCCTTTTCCAGTAGTTCCAACGCCCTCACCGTATCATATCCCCCCATCGCTTTGTCACGTTAGGGGGGGGGCTCAGGAGGGGACGCGTCGTCGCCGATAGGGACTTGATAGCCCACGTCGCCTGGGAGCGTGCGGTTACGCGTTCGGGAGCACATCGCCGACGAATCGGCGATGTGTCGCCGATTCGTCGCCGATTCCGGGTCGGTGCTTCCCCCCTAATATTGCCCCTCAAGAGATATTCGGACGGGGCTCGGACGAGGATAAATCGGTTCCAGGGCGTTCAGGAACGCTCTCTCTCTCTCTCTCTCTCTCTCTATCGGAGCGTTTTGGAACGCATTGAAAACGCCGCGGCGCCCGAAATATCCTCCAGAGCCGCCAGATCTTAGAGATTCACGATTGATCCTCACCCGGTTTTGTCCTCGTCCTGGTTTTGTCTTAGGTCCCCCCCTTGACCCCCGACGTCAGGATTTTTTCCTAACGTCGACCCGCAGACGTCTCGATCCACTCCCCAGGACCAGCTTTTCATCCTGAGTCGTTGTTTGACGGTCCCGAGGCCTGGCGAGGGCCCCCAGAGGCCAAAAAGAATGAGAAGCCCCACGTCGTGTTTTTGTTCAGGACTCCCGGAAGTCTGTCGCCGTCCTTCTGGTTGGCCCAAAAGGGGGTCCAGCCACGAGGGGGTGGTGCAATAGATCTGGTGCAATAGATTAGTGGGTTGCAATAGGTTTGGGGCGGGCAATACATTCCTGGGCGCAAATATATTGCTGGAATCTCGCGTACAACACACTAGTTGCACTACAGGTCCTGCGCAACACATTCTCAAGACACTTGCCCAAAATCTATTGCACCACTCCCTTTCAGCTGGACCCCCTTGTAGAACAACCGAAGAGGAGGAGGAGGAGGAGAAGGAGGAGGAGGAGGCGGAGGCGGAGGAGGAGGACGAGGAGAAAAATAATGATAATGTCTGTTCACTAAGTGAAAGAAGGAGGAGGAGGATGAGGAGGAGGAGGGGAAGGAGGAGGAGGAGGAGGAGGAGGAGGAGGAGGAGGAGGAGGAGAGGAGGAGGAGGAGGTGGAGGAGGAGGAGGACGAGGACCCCCTTTTGGGTCCACCAAAAGTCCTGGCTTCGCCCCAGGTGCAGCGGCAGAAGTCCTTCTCGGAGGGCCTGGCCGGGCTGCTCGCCACGGTGGAGGGCGAGGAGCAGGGCGCTGGTCAGAGGTGGCGGGGGGGGGGTCGCTGGCCTTCCATCGGGACGATCGAAATGGGTACGGAAAGAATGGGTAAACAAAGACCAATAGCAGTTCCTGTTCATTTGGGACAGGAGTCGTTGTCGGCGTCGCCGCGGCCTGTGTCCACTGAAGACAAAAAGCCGCCTGCCTAACAGCGGCCGCTGTCGGTTTGGGGCAGCATGTGCTGTTGGGCATTGTACCCATTTTGTCCGTACCCATTTCGGGCGCTGGCCTGCCAGAGGGCGACGATGAGGGGCGGATGGCCCGAGGGGAAACAGCACAGTCAACCAGCATAGTAAGGATGGGCAACCTTCCCAAGGGTACTCCAAATCCCTTACAAATCGATCCCCCCCCTACAAGACCGGACCCCTCCAAATGCGACCTAATATTCCGGACCCCCCTCTTCGACGGGGCGCCATAATAAGCCGGACCCCCTAAGCTCGAATCCAAAGAAAGCACCCCTCAGTTGAAAAAACGGCGCCTTAAGTAACCAGACCTGGGGGACGATTAATAAGGGATTTGGAGTACCCTTGCATCCTTGCCTACTCGGTCCATCCTTGGCCACTTTCGTTGGCCGCGCCCCGCTCGAAAAGCTTCGAAATGGCCTTGCAAGGCCCGTGCATCCTCATCGTGCGTCCTTATGATACGGGTCGACTGTACGCGTATCCAGGGGCGCCGCTGAGCCATATCTTTGGCAAGGCTCCTGGGCGAATACGTGTAATGCCCGCCCATGGGTCATTCGCCCCTATCGTCGCCCCCGAGAGGGCGACACGAGGCAACGTTACAGTTGGCCTGCGGCGGGCCCTCGTCGCCACCGCTGGACGCAGCTCGGAAGATTTCTGCGTTTGGGCCCCCGGAGTCACAGGAGGAGGGTGAGGTACCCATACCGCTACCCTGGCATCGTTCTCGTCGTTTTGGGCCTCCTGGGAGGCCCTCGTCGCCACCACTGGATTCGCCTCGGAGTTCTGGTCCGAAAGCACCCCGGGAGAGGTCCGGGGAGTAACGGTATCGGTACCATGTGGTTTCCCCAGGGAGGGGTCCAGGAACCGGTTTTAAATTGCCACTGTTTGAACTCGCCTTGCTCCAGAACTGCTCGGGAGGGAAACAGCTGACCCAATGGCACGCCGCCCCTGCTTGCTACTCATCCTCGCTTGTCCGAAGGCATGGTGCTTCCCAAGCAGTAGCATCACGATGATGGATTTCCTGCGGCGGCGTGTCATTGATAGTAGTTTTGCACTCCGAGCTGCGGGCCTGCAGCAAGCCGTTGCGCTCTAGAAGACCAGACCCCTTCGCGTCGTGAACAAGATCACGACGGGAGGTTGTGTGCATTTTCGGCCTCTGGGGGGGCCTTACTGGTCCCTGGAACCAACAGAAACGGCTCGAGATGAAAAGCCAGTCCAGGGGAATGAGTCAAGACCTTTGGATGTGAACGTGTCGAGACAAACACGACGCCGGGTGTGTGAGTTCGGCGCATCTCGCCTTCTGCGGACGGCCAGCGGAAGTACGGCGGCGGCAGCGCCGTCGCCTAAATGTTGGCAGAAGACGGCTGAAGTAAAGGCGGGGCGTCGACATGTTTGGATTCAGGGTGTCTGGAGTCGCCCACCTGCGAGCCCTCCCCCCTGCGGGTCCAGGCGACGACGGGCTGTCGGGCACCCCCTGTGGGAGTCCGTTTGGCTGCAGGCAGCCTTCGGGATCCTGGACCCCCGCCACGGCTTCAGACATCTGGCCTGCAGGGATCGGGCCTCGCGCACGGCTCCAGAGAGCTGCACATCGGGCTCGGGCGCCAGGCCCCTGCTGGGCCCGGGAGCTGTGAGCACGCCCGGCGCACGGCCAAGGCAGCAAGAGCGCGCCGCTTGCGCCGATCCCTGGGCCCAGGAGGGGCCTGGCCAGCCTCCGTGCGCGAGTGCGGTCTCCTTCTCCTCCTCCTCCTGCTCCTCCTCCTCCTCCTCCTCCTCCTCCGCCTCCTCCTCCGCCTCCTCCTCCTCTTTCGCCTCCGCCTCCTCCTCCTCCTCCTCCTCCTCCTCCGCCTCCTCCTCCTCCTCCGCCTCCTCCTCCTCCTCATCCGCCTCCTCCTCCGCATCCGCCTCCTCCTCCCTCCTCCTCCTCCTCCTCCTCCTCCTCCTCCCCTCCTCCTCCTCTCCTCCCTCCGCCTCCGCCTCCGCCTACTCCTCCTCCTCCGCCGCCTCCTGCTCCCTCCTCCTCCTCCTCCTCCTCCTCCTCCTCCTCCTCCTCCTCCTTCTCCTCCTCCTCCTCCTCTTCCTCCTCCTGTGGGAGTCTCACCGCCCTCCTGTGGAGGGGCCGCCCGGAGCTCGCGGACCGGCGGGCGATCCAGCAGAGGAAGAAGCTGAGCAGGACCCGACGCGGGGGAGGGGTCGATGTCCACCGCGTGTTTCGGGGGTCGTCCCGCCCTTGGCCGAGCAGCGGCGAAGCGCGCCGGCTGGCCTCTAGGCCCACCAAAGAATGTTCTGAGAACCTGTTGTGGTCTTCACGAATTGTTCTGAGAACAGCCGTGGCTGAGACTGCCCTGTTTGTGTTAATACATCGGGGGCATGTTCTAAGCGCAGCGTTTTCTATGAATCGAGCATTTAGTGGTTCTAAGAATATGTTTGTTCGAGCTCTTTGGTGGAGTTCCAAGAACCTGAATTCGTGGTAGGCCTACGGGCATGCCGGGGCGGTCGGTCCCTGCTCAACCTGGGTGGCCACCAGAGGAGAGCTCCTCCTCTTCCGCCTCCTCCTCCGCCGCCGCCGGCTCTGCCTCCGCCTCCGCCTCCGCCTTCTCCTCCTTCTCCTCCTCCTCCTCCTCCTCCTCCTCCTCTGCCTCCTCCTCGTCCTCCGCCTCCTCCTTCTCCTCCTCTTATAGGGTTCCCTATTCGGTTCCCTGTAGGTGGTGGGCCCAGGTGGCTGTCGGACGGCGCTTTCCAGCCCTGGCGTGTTGCCGCCGCGTCGGCCCTTGGGGGCCGCGTGCGCGCCCCCGGCGAGGAGGAGGAGGAGGAGGAGGAGGAGGAGGAGGAGGAGGAGGAGGATCAGGAGGAGGGGGAGGAGGAGGAGGATCAGGAGGAGGAGGAGGAGGGGGGGGAGGAGGAGGGAGGAGGAGGGGGAGGCCCCCGACCTGCGGAGCGGAGAGACACGCTGGCCTCCCCGCAGGGCATAGCGTGTCGCGGGGGCCGCCGCCGCGACACGCTGGGCAGAATTTCCGACCCCAGGGGGGGGGGGCCATAAGACGGGCGTAGAGGACGAAAGGTGCACCTTCTGTGCACCCTCGGGGCCCTACAGGGACCCCGTTGGGGCCCCGAAGGTACTGCACACGAAAGGTATGCATTTCTTCCACCTCCCCGTTTGTCGCCCCCCCCCCTCGAAGAAAGTTGCAACACCGCGAAAGATTACGACCAGATCCTTAGGCCCGATCTGTCTGCTTCACTCAATTGAGGAAAGACCGCCCAGTCACGACAATTGACGTGTACTAGACAGCCTTGCCCTGTTCGATTCCTTCCTTGGGTGCGTTTCCTGAACGGACCCGCTTGTCGGTGTGACTCCTCTGGGGGCGGATTTTCTGCCCTCCTTACTCTCGGGCCGAACGAAAGGGGGGGATAGGGAAAGGGGGGGTACGAAATCTGCTGCATGCAGCTGGTTTCGGCCCCGCCGCCGGGCCCATTCCTCGATACATGGGCGCCTCCCGGCGCCGGGAGGCGCTGGGAAAATCAGCTACGTGAGCTGATTCTCTACCCTGCCCTGTGCTGTGCCCCCCTTCCGTTCCCCCCAAGGAGGGAGGACGAGGACGAGGACGAGGACGAGGACGAGGACGACGAGGACGAGAACGAGGACGTGAGCTGATTCTCTCCCCTGCCCTTTGCTATCCCCCTCTTCCGTTCCCCCCCTCCTCTCTCCTCTCCCGAGCTGGATCGGCCTGCGCTGGCCCCGTGGCCCGACACGGGGGCCAGCGCAGACGCCCGACGGCGACGGCGACGGCGACCGACGACCGACGACCGACGGCGACGGCGACGACGACGACGAGGACGGCGACGACGACGACGACCGACGACGGCGACGACCGACGACTGACGACCGACGACGACGGCGACGACGACGACGAGGACGGCGACCGGCGACGACGACGACGGCGACGGCGACGACCGACGACGACGACCGAGGGGGGCTCCAGAAGCCGCGAAGGCCCCTGGGCGCTCCCCCCGGCGGCGCCCGCAGGAAGCCCGCGGGCCCGGAGGCGGGCAGCCGCCTGGGCGAGCTGCTCGCCGAGGTGGAGGGCGGCGAGCCGGGGCCCGGCCAACTGCGCACCGCCAGCGTCGGGCGGGTGGTAATGGTAAGTCAGGTCGGGGGAGAAAAAGATACGAATACGTGTTGTCCCCCTTCGTTTTCGGCCTTTCCTGGTCCTCCTGGGGAATCCTCGTTGTCACCGCTGGATTCGCCTCGAAATTCTGCTCAGAACGCACCCCAAGAGAGGTCCGGGGACAACACGTATCCGTATCTTTCCGCCCCCCAATCAGGCTTGTCCCTCTACAGGAGGAGAGTTCAAAAATAGTTGAAAAATAGCCTGGGGTCGGAGGAGATGGGGTCGGAGGATCGCTCCGCATCGCCGATGCATCGGCGATGTGGTTCGATCTGGAGCCCGATTTGTTTCGCGTCGACGTCGCCGACACATCGCCGACGTCGACGATGCATCGCCGGTGCATCGCCGATGCATCGCCGATACATTGCCGATGCATCGTCGATGTATCGGCGATGCGGCGCGATCCTCCGACACCATCTACTCCGACCCCATCTAGGAGGCTTCTAACTGCGGACAGGTAGCGTCGGGCGGGTGGTAATGTTAAGTCGGGCTTGTCCCTCTGCAGGAGGAGAGTTCAAGCATTGTAAAAAAATAGTCTGGGGACGATCTGCTGATTATTGTTGAAGATGTTTGAGCATTTTTGGAATATTGTAGAGGCCTCAAGCCAGTGCCGCCGATCTGAGACGATCCCGCTGTCAGAAGGACGGTTTCGCCCCAGCGCGCTTGTTCAAACGTAAGTGGTTTGGAAACAGTTTGGAAGCATTGCGTGGGCTTCTTGAGGGGCCTCTACGACGCATATTCGAGGCCTTCTGGGGGGGCGTCTTGGAGGTGATTGTTGGGCCTCTTGGGGGCCTTTGGGCTTTCTTGGGGGGCATGCAGGGGGCATCCTGGAGGCCTCCTGGGGGTGTGCAGGAAGTAAGTTGTAACCCTTCGGGAGCGCTTTTGGGGGCCTCGTGAGGCCCACTTGGAGCCTCTCGGGTTTTCTTGGGGACTCATAGGGCCATTTCTGTACCTCCTGGGCGCCTCTTGGGCCGTCTTGGGCCCTTCTGGGGCCGTCATGGAGCCCTCTTGGGCGCTTCTTGGGCCCGTCCTGGGGCCCGCTTGGGCTGTCTTTGGGGCCTCCCGGGCCGTCGTGGGCCCTTCCTGGGCCGACTTGGGGCCCTCTTGAAAGCCTCTGGGCCTGTTTTGGGGGTCTCTTGGGCCGTGTTGGGGGCTCTTTTCTTCACCCCCTATGTGGGTCAGCCCTCCTTGCCGCCCGCCCGACAGCGCCACCCACCCCCATCCAATACGACGCAAGGCTTTTGGCTGATGTCAGCCTCGACCCCTACAATCTCAGCATCCCAGTTGGGAAGACACTCCTCGAAGCCCGAAGGAAACAGCCTATATCCTGATGGAGGGGGTAAATCGGCCAGTGGGGCCAGGCCACGCTGATGGGGAGATGGGGTCGGTTAGATGATGCTCATCCAGGGAGAGGCAGGGAGGATCGAGGACGTTGTCGAAACTTTTTGCCGGTTCTTCGAGGTTTCCTCGCCCCGGGATGCTCTCCCGCAGCTGCGCCTCGCTGGGGGCGTTCTGGGGGTGCCTGGACCGTCCTGAACGGACGCCAGAGGCCCGAGTGCATGATCTGATGACCTGGCCTCCCCGCGTCGGACAAATATCACAACGGAAGGTTGTTTGCTTTCTTTTCCGCCACCAGACAAGTACGCTGGCATCCTCCAGTAGATAATTCCTGGGCATCAGGGCAGGGTGGTGGTGTATAGCACCAGTGGGGGTCAGCGAATCTATACACCGCCGCCCTCCCAGAAGGTACATGCCAAATTCGTCGGAGGCTGTTCGGGTAGATATGTATTAT